CAAGCCCCTCCTGCCCCTGCTGCGCTACACAGGATTGGGCTTCCCACGCCGGCCCCCAGCTTCACCCTCCCCTAGCCCCAGCCCAAGTGTCCCCAGAACGGCTGGGAGGCTGGGGGGACTGAGGGACCCCCCACTCCTGCTCACCATGCAGGCTGCCTGCACTGCCTCTGAGATGGTGCCGGCGTCAGGCTCGCACCAGAAGGCCGCACACTGGAAGCGTCGCCCCGTGTCCACGATGAGTGCGAAGGTGTGGGCATCCCGGCCCACACCCAGGAAGGTCACGTACCGCACCTGGCACTCCCAGATGTGCGCTGCCTCCTCGTCTTCCTGCAGGGACCTGGTGGGCCCATCCACCCCTGGCCACCCCCTGGGCAGCCCTGCCGCCCCCACCAGGTCCCCTCTACGGGGAGGCTGGGCCCCCCATGAGGGTTGCCTGTCCCACCCCACTGGCAGCAGCGTGCCCGCTTCGGCTGGAGCCCCCCGTCCCCCTCCCCACCTGCGCAGGGTGCACCCTCATGGCCGTGTCGGACACGCGGATGAGGGAGGGCGTCCATCGCTCCCGTCCGGAGCCCCTCATCAGCTTCTCAATGGCCTCGTTCAGCACATCCATCCCTGGGGAGCGGGAGACCCCATCCCATTGGCCCCTGCCCCAGCTGTGGGCGTGGTGCAGGCAGGGGGTAGTCAGCTGTCCCCACAGCAGAGGGTCCTCGGGGTGTCCCCCCTCCCCGTGGCAGGGCCAGCAGTGCTTACCCATGGCCCTGGGCACGGGCAGGCTGCCAATGTACAGCGCCTCATAGGTCTGCATCGACTGCCGCACCGCTTCCAGGATATCCACTGCCAGCATAGGAGAGATGGGGGGCACACCCAGAGGGACCCTCCCATGTCCACCCCCATGTGCCCCCCGGTCCCCAAGGACCCTGGGGACACTGCCAGGCAGGCCAAAGGGCTCTGACAGTGGGCATCCCACTGCCTGAGGGCAGACTATGGGCAGGGAGAGCAGCCAGCAGCACTGGGGGAACGGTACCTTGCAACGGCAGGTTGTCGATGGAGATGGACTCCAACATGGCAGCGCGTGGTGGCCTACTGCTCACTATGGCTCGCTCAGCCACGATCTGCAAGAGATGGGGGTCCTGGTGCCTCCCCTCACCCCAAGCCCTCCGGGGCATGCCTATACCCGCCTGGGCCCCTGCATCCCACCTTGGAGCACATCTCGTGCAGGGCCTTGGCGATGCCCTTGGCAGGCACATTGCAGTGAAAGACGTGACACTTGAGGATGCAGGTGTCTTTGTCACTCGCCACAAAGGCAAAGTCTCTGCATGGCCACAAGCAAGCCAGTGAGACCCTAGCAGAGGCAGTCCCTGCTGGTATGTATTCCTATATCGCTCCTTAGCCAGTTCCGCTCCTGCTCTCTTGCCCCACGGTGTGCAATGTTTAGGAACTATTGCTCCACGCTGCCTGCCACCACTCCTGCTGCAAACCCTCCTGCTGGCATCAGCCTGCCCTTACACCCCCTCAGACCTGGCTCCTGCTCCCCTGCTCCCATCCAATGGTCTTGGGCTTTGAAGGGGATTTCTTCAGCTCCAGAGGAGACTAAATGCAGCACTCCCTTGAGATCCAGCCCAAAAGCGCATGGAAGAAAGAGTTTTTAAACACACAGTCTGTGGGGAAGCAACTTCTTTATCTGCATATTTTCCCAGGAACACCGTCAGCCTCACCAGCCCACAGCTCCTGGCCTCCTCCTTTACCTTCCCAATACGCTGGTAACAGTCGCTGTAACTGGCCTCTTAAACTTCTCTAGTGCTCCACATTTTGTTCAAAAACAACATTAGTGGTTCAAATAGCTCTTTCATACCATCTTCCAAATTTAAATATTTAACAGTCCCAGTTTATTATCCCCTCTAGTTTCAAGGCAAGGTCCCCATCGGTGGGGACAAGCCAGCCTCAGCAGCAGTGGCCCCGGGGTGGGACCCTGCCTGTCAGCACTGTCCCAGGCTCTCACCTCGCCCCGGTTTTCTGCAGAGCCCTGGCCCTTGCTGTTGGAGAGCTGCTGGATGCAGTTGTTGACAGCAATGCTGCTCTTGCCAGGTGCTAGGTCCTCCTCGGGGATCTCCACCCAGCCCAGCGAGCGCACAGCAAAACACTGAGCGGAGATACATGGGGTTTCAGTGCCTGGCCGCAACCACTCATGTCCCTCGCTGTGCCAGAGACCTCACCCCTGCTCTTGCTCCCATCCCTGTCCCTGCCAGCTGCTGCCTGCCCCCTCCCCTGCCAGCCCCAGCCCCAGCCCACAGTGCCACGGTGAAGCCCCTGAGTGCGGTACCTTGGAGCTGTGCTCTGCGCTGTGCTGGAAGTCATCTCCATGCCAGGGCAGCGAGGTCCTGTGGAGGGACAGGGCGGTGAGGGGGCAGATCCCACTTGGCAGCATGGAGCTGGTGCACCCAGGGAAGCACCAGGATACCCTTGCACCAGCAGCTCCCCCCTGCCATGCCACCAGCTGAGAAGCATCCATGGAGGTGACTAGCATGGTCCTTCTGGCTCCAATGTGTGGGTCTGCTGTGGTGGGGGGCACCAGGGCCCAGCACGCTGCAGTGGTCAAGGGTCAATGGTGCCCTACAGGCCAGCAGAGTGCATGAGCAGCCCTACCTCCGGGACAGTGAAGCCATGGGGCTGGGAATGGGCCTGTCCTTTGCTGAGTGCTTCGCTGCAGTGGCCTGGCACTCCTGGGTGAGAAGAGGAAAGTTGTGAAGGCAGCAAGGGAGGCTGTGAGGAAGCCCTCCCTTCCAGGACAGCAGCACCTCAGCTTGTGGGCATCCCATGTAGCCAGGATAATGCCAACATGAGCCATGCTGAAGCCTTTCAAGAGGCTTAACCCTGGCCAGGAATGGGCTGAGCAAGAATTTGGGCTGACAGAGACAGGTCTGCTCCAAGGGGAGGCTGGACCAACGATGCCCAGAGGGCCCTTCAGCAGGCTCCTACCAGGAGGTGGGATCTGACACCAGCCCTCCCCCCCCTGCCCACATCCCCTACCATTCCCTGGAGTGACTCCTCTCCATCAGCCTCCAGGTGCCCTCCCGGGCCAGTGGTGTGTGCAGGGTGCTGCCATTGTGTCGTGCCGGTCGGCACATGCCAGTAGTAGGTGCCCAGAGAGTCTCGGATTTTCCTCCAGCCTGGGGGGAGGTCAGGGTCTGTCTCCAGGCTCTGGTCACTCCAGAGGTTGTCTGTGCAGAGAGAGAGTGGGAGGCAGGGGGGTGGGGGTGGTCGATGGACACATGGACGGACCCCCAGCTGCAGGGTGCCCCATGAAGTAAGCAGCTTCACCCGGTAGCAAAAGGGTCCTGCAGTGGCCTCTGGGTGCACGGCTGGGCACATGGCCCAGGAGAGAAGCGTGGCAAGGGAAGGCTTGGCATGAAGCCAGAGAGGCTGCGGTGGAGGCAGACCCTAGGTAAGTGATTCACTGGCGCCCGGAGAGATGGGGTGACCCCGGCAGGGGCACAGAGAGCACAGGCAGCCTGAGCCTGCCAGGGAGGGCACCCACGCAGGGCCCGGGGATGCCAGCCCAGAGCTCCCCCTGTCTGAGTGCAGTCCCCAGCCCTCTGCCAACACCCCAGGGTACTTGAGAGTGGCTTCTTCCCAGCTTGGCTGGGGAAAGGGGTTGGGGACAGACCCCTGGCATCTGGGAGGAGGGAAACGGCCTTGGAGGGTTGCAGCTAGGTGGGGCAGATTAACCCCCTCCTCCCTGCACCCCAACACTGGGGAGGTCACAGACACAAGCCCGTGGTGCAGCACAGCAGCAAGCTCCGCTCTTCGGAATGCAGCCCAAAATCCGCAGAGCCCGGGCGCTGTGGGGTGCTCTCTCGCTCCGCCTCCCGCGGGACCTCCGACACACAGAGGGCGTGTGAGGGGGTGTGGGGGGGGGTCTGTGGGTGCCCCCCCCCACCTTGGGA